CATGAATATACAGTAGCAGATTCCATGAGCAAAATGTAATACAGATCTGTAATCTGAATCCCTCTAAACTGGGACAGCTCTCAACATCCTTCTGCGAGGCCACATTTTTCTCAGTCCAGAGTAAGTGCTGCTATACCCACACAGACCCCTATATTTTAGCTGGGTTCTAAGACGCTAGGACAGTGGTGGCGAAACTTTTAGAGACCGAGTGCCCAAACTGCAATCCAAAACCCACTTATGTATCATCGGGTGCTGGGTGGGCGTGGCCCATCGAGTGGGTGTGGCTGCAGTGGTAACGGCAGACTGGGTGGGACTAAAAAGTTCAATCAATCAATTCCAACTTTGTGAGATCTTTCCCCCCCCCCCCGCAAGAAGTTGAAGTTGATGGATTGATTGAACCTTTTTTTTTTTTTTTGCACACAGTGGTGGAGGCCTAAAGCAAAAAGGTTTTATAAAACCCAGCTGAAGTCCTAGGACTGGGGCGACGGCGCACGTGTCCACAGAGTGGGCTCTGTGTGCCACCTGTGGCACGCATGCCATAGGTTCGCCACCACGGCGCTAGGACTAGGTCACTAGTAAGCCAGCACACAATGGCTGAATCTAGCCATGAACAACAATGGCTCCGAATACAGGCTGTGCTAAGCCCAAATTAAACAAACAAAATAATATTTCATCTATACATTACTAAAATTCTGATTCCTGTAACCTTTAACTTTTACCCATAGGGCAATGCTTTTTGAATCAAGTTACCTAAAGTGCTCTAATAACTTACACAAATGTGTCCAAATTCCAAGTGGTACTGAAATTTGGCAAATTTGATTAAGCATTTTATAACACAAACATCATTATAAAGCAGTTTGTGGCCTAATGCAAAATGTCATAAAACATTTCCTGTGCTGATGTTTGATTGCGCTTTACACTTCAACATAGGCTATACAGTTTATGACATAATACATAATGTCATAAATTAAAAACATTTCCTGGGCTGTTTGATTGCGCTATACAGTTGAACATGGGCTTTTCAAAGCAGATACACCTCTTTTCCAGTGAAGACAGTACATTGGAAGCTCCGTCCTTGTTGGAGGCATTGAGGAATCTTGATAAGGAAACCTCTCTGAAACGATGACTCAGTGGGGCAGGGGATTGTCTAGTGTTACATTACAACGTGATTCCTTTGAGTTCATCTTAGACTGGAAATGTTTGGTTTACTTAACACCCCGTGGGTTCTTACAATCCATTGCTTAAATACGTTCTATAGCAGTGTTTCTCAACCTTGACAATTTTAAGGCATGTGGACTTCAACTCCCAGAATTCCACAGCCAGCAATGCTGGCTGTGGAATTCTGGGAGTTGAAGTCCACATGCCTTAAAATTGTCAAGGTTGAGAAACACTGTTCTATAGGGTGGAAAAGAGGGGACGGCTCCGGAAGCAATGGCGAATAACCCACTGAAAGAGGAGGCGCCTCTCCTCCTGCCCACCGTAAACGTGGCGTTTCTACGCTCTCATGTTTGCGCCGCGGAGAGGGTACAACTCCCCTCGGGTGCGCATGCGCCTTCTCCCGGCCGGCGGCTGCAAACCTGGGCGGTGCGGGGAGGCGGAGCTGAGGCGGAGCCGGAGCAAGAGCCCGAGCCGGAGACCCCCTCGCCCGGCCTGTGCTTCCTTCGCCTCCTCCTCCTCCTCCTCCCCCCCCCCCGGTCTTCCCTGCCCCTCCGCGGCGGCATGGAGAACCCTGAGGCCGCCGTCAACGGGAGCTCCTCCGCTTCGAACCCGACCGCTGCCTGCCTGGGCGGTTTCCGCAAAGGCGCGAGGAGAATGTGTGATTCTGAGGAGAAACCGCTGACAGATTCTAAGGCGGCGGCGGCGGCGGCGGCGGAGGAGCAGTCGCCGCGCCCGCGCTCTCCTCCTCAGCCGCCGGCGCGGTTGTCGTCTTCGGGTTCCGAGGAAGCGGTGCCGGACCACGCGGAAGGTCCACAGCACTTGCCGCCGCCGCCGCCGCCCCCCCACCGGCGGCCGCATCACCACCACCACCACCGCCGCCACCATTCCCCACTTCTTAACGCTTCTCCCCCACAGAGGCGGCGCCGGCGCCGCAGCAACCGCCTCCTGCTCCTCGACCCCGGCGCCGCCGCCGCCGCGCTGATGGACGCGGGCGGCGCTGCCGGGCTGCTCTACCCGCCGTTGGGCCGTGAGGAAGACGGGGCGGAGGAGGAGGACGACGACGACGAGAAGGAGGACGATGACGATGACGACGACGACGACGAGCTCGACGGAGCGGCCGACGAGGAAGGCGCCGGCGACTTGGCCAGCAGCGAGAGCGCCGGCAGCGGTTTTTCTACCCAAGGCTGCGCCGTGGCCGAGCGCCGCAAGCGAGCCCGCGGCTCGGGCAGCGGGCTGAGCGGCGGAGGCATCTCGGCTTCCTCCTGTATCGGCCGCAGTTACGAGGTCGTCCGCGAGCTGGGAGCCGAGGAGGTGCGCTGGTTCTACCGCGAGGACCGCAAGGGCTGGAAGCCGTTTATCGGCTACGACTCGCTGCGCATCGAGCTGGCCTATCGCGCCCTTCTGGTGGGGGTGGTTGACGACCAGGCTTCTTCGCCCGGCCCCACAGGTGGGCCCGAGAAACTCGCGCCTTCTCCGAGCATCCTGAGCCCTGAGCCGGTTTGTGTCCGGGGAGGCCTCTACGAGGTGGATGTGGTCCACGCCGAGTGCTATCCGGTTTATTGGAACCGTAAGTGGCTTTCCTCCTCTTCCCTTTTATCGTGGCTCCTGCCTGGAGCAAGTGAGTAGACCGCATCCTTTGGGGAGTCGCTGCGGTTCTCTCCGGAGAGGGAATGCCTCGCCTAAGGTGCTGAAATCCTTTGCGTGCCTGGTTAAGGGTGAAATGATCATCCTCTAAACCAGGGGTTCTCAACCTTGGCAACTTTAAGACTTGTGGACTTCAACTCCCAGAATTCCTCAGCCAGCTTTGCTGGCTGAGGAATTCTGGGAGTTGAAGTCCACAAGTCTTAAAGTTGTCAAGGTTGAGAACCCCTGCTCTAAACCAGTGTTTCTCAACCTTGACAATTTTAAGGCATGTGGACTTCAACTCCCAGAATTCCACAGCCAGCAATGCTGGCTGTGGAATTCTGGGAGTTGAAGTCCACATGCCTTAAAATTGTCAAGGTTGAGAAACACTGCTCTAAACCTTGCACAAGAAAATCAGCTCCCCTATATTCAGTAGTCAATACTTAACCAAACATGCATTGTATTTGTAGGTTTGGGATTCTATATAAATGTGTTTGTTCCTTAAAAAAATAAAATGCTAGAATCCTGCTTGTAAGCATACAACATAAACATCATAGGCATAGGAGCAGGAGAAGGATGAAGAAGAATGGATAATCCAGCAGCTTTGCCCTTAATGGAGTGTCCCTTTTTTCCCCCCTCTGCTTGCATTGGCCATTCTTCAAATATGCACAATCACTGAGCACTTGCTTCATCTTTATAGACTCTTGATCTGTCAAGTAAGAAGAAGGCTCAGGTCTTCAATACATGTCAGCATCTTCTCTGTATATCGTATTATTGTCTTCTGCTATGGAGCACCTTCCCAAATTAATATTTTTTTTTATTTTGTTTCTTTTACATATGCATATATCTCTTGTTTATTATTTTTCCCTAAGTGACAATGATCACACACAGTCACACTTCCATATGCAAGTGATTGTGCATCCTATTGGATAACCTGAGGCCTTTTGTAGTTGAGTGATCTCAAAATCTAAGAAAAGAACTAACTAACTAAAATAAAGTTGGTTTATCTCTTTATGAATGTGCTCTTTTCTTCTTCTCAAGTATCATTAGTTAGTACCTGTTGGCTCATTGTTAAATTAAGCATCTAGCAATAAGGAATCTAGAGTAATTTTTGGGTTGTGCAATTGATAATATCCTGAAAAAGATGAGAGGGGCATTGTAGGAACAGTTTATGGACTTTGTGGAAGTGAACATTTGCCAGTTAGAAAGGTACAGAGAGGTATACTGAACATTATTGCTGCAAATTAGTTTTACCTATATATTTTTCATCGTCATGGGTTTTAATTTCTTTGGCTTGCTATTTCTTAAACCTTTTATGTGCTTGTTTGTTTCGTGTATTATTGAAACCTGGTGGGACAAGAATGTTGTTTCTGAGATTATTCTATTGGGTTTGGGGTCAAAATGTGAATACTAATATGTTAAATTAAGCTATTGGCATAGGTTGGACATCCGCTGCCCAGCAGATTCTTTAATGTTGCCAATGTTACATTTTGTAGTACTAGCATTAATCCCAAAAGAAAAGATATGTAATTTCTAGGACCTACTGAACGAGGAAGTGAACTCTGTGTCCAAGGTAGGGTTTGTTAATCTCCAGCTGTTATACCAGTTGTAGCTCTATTGGAGTACTAGGATCTCCCAAGAATAACTCACACACCATTACTTCTTTGCATTATTGCAATGCTACTCTACATGGTTTGCCATGAAAGATCACCCATTTTATTGATACAGTACATTATGTTGGGTTTTGACTGGTGCAGAATGACATAAGCACATGAGATCTCTACTCTGGGCCCTGCAGTGGCTTCCCATATGTTTCTGAATGCAATGAAAAGTGCTGGTTTAAATCTTTACAGTTCTACATGGTTTGGCATGGAGATCCTTATTTGATTCATGAGGCCCAACGGGCTTCAATGGTGTTGTTCTATGGCTCTATGACTGGGTATTGGCCTGTGGAAGTGGCTGGGGATGGGCCTGATATCACGACCTGAGTGCCTCCTAAAATAGTGTTCTATTAAAAAAGAAGTAATCATGTGATCCTGAGAAAATTACAGTATTTGATCAATCTGTAAGACCTCATCTCTATAGTGCTATCTACCATTGTTACATTTACCATCAATAATCTCATAATATATGTCTGGATTGAAATTAGTGCTGAAATCTAATGCCAGCTTATATTTTGCTCCTTTTTGCTCAAGTAAAGGCTGGGCAGGGGTTATTTTAATATGGATTCTTATACTGAGCAAGATGTCACATGACACCGTGCGACGTATCGGAATTTTTTTCCCATTGCCAGCAATGGGGTGGATGCCGTTTCCGCGTGACGCGTGTGGCCCACAGGCTGGCAGTTTGACACCCCTGGTCTAATGGATTCTTGTTCCAGTGATATATTGACATAATAATTCAGTGTGAAAATATTATGTGCAGTTCTTCACCTCTCTAAATCATGATATATACAGCATGATTATCTACAATGAGGAATTTTTGTATATTCATGAAAGTTGCCACAAAATCCTGATGCAGCAAGTTTCCAACTACATAGGAGTGTGTGTGTGTGTGTGTGTGTGTGTGTGTGTGTGTGTTTGTATGAAAGCTCACTGATTCCATGCAGTCGTGAAATATCCATGGAGATTGTTTCCTTCATGACTCAGAGAAAGGAAGGGCCGATTTCCCACATACTAAATTGTGTGTGTTGTAATGTGATAATTTTGAAGAACTTGATGAAAGGTGCTGTTGAATACTTGTCACAGTAAGTTGCATATTCTTAATTGTTGCTTATAAGCTTTCTTATATTTGCATCCTTCAAATCAATATCTTTGCTTCCGTCAGTTCTCTTACTGTTTTATTATCCTTCTGTTATCCAGAGAAATTCAGCCTTTTCCACTGATAGGAAAAGGAAGTATAGGATAAATAGTTTCATTTCCACTGATCCTGAGATATTATGTGTGTATTTCTTTTATTATATCGTTTATAGTCTTTCAGAGGACACACGAAAGCTATTACTTTCTCTAATTTGATATAAGCTCTCTTTTATTGACAGTGTAGATTACTGTAAGTGGGAGCAACCATAACAAAATAGTTTTCCAATGAGTCTGATAAAATTTTACCATTATACTAGTTGCTTTTACAAAAGTACATAAAGGCTGTTCGTTAATTTACATAGTTTCAAGACCAAGAAAAATGCTAGCAAAGGTTTTATAATAGTATACTGTATGTTTTAGTTGGACTGCTGATAAGAAGAGAAAAATAATTCTCTTTGGAGAATTTGCTATTCTCCAAAGTGCCTGAAGGCAAGACAAGAAACAACAGATGGAAACTAATCAAGGAGAGAAGCACCCTAGAGCTAAGAAGAAACTTCCTGACAGTGAGAACAATTAATCAGTGGAACAACCTGCCTCCAGAAGTTGTGAATGCTCCAACACTGGAAGTTTTTAAGAAGAGATTGGACAGCCATTTGTCTGAAATGGTATAGGATTTCCTGCCTGAGCAGGAGGTGGACTAGATCAGTGGTTCTCAACCTGTGGGTCAGGACCCCATTTGGGGTCGATCGGCCATTTCACGGGGGTCACCAAGCAAGGCTGTCCGCCATTTTTTTTGTCCGCCATTTTTTCCCCTTTTCCGGCGGGTGCCTTACCTCCCTTGGGCTGGGCCAGCTGGTGGTCGGCCTGCTCCGTCTCTGCCGCTTGCCAGCTACGCCTCGGCAGGCGCAGGGGGCGGAACCACGCATGCGTGGCGCTCCTGGGCAGGGAAAGTCCTCGACTTACGACCGGTTGGGTAGTCCTCGACTTACGACCGGTTTAGTCCTCGACTTACGACCGGTTGGGGTCGCGGCATTAAAAAGGTTGAGAACCACTGGACTAGATTATCTCCAAGGTCCGTTCCAACTATTATTATTATTGTTGTTGTTTTGTTATTATTTAAAAACAGGAAGCTAGTGACACAAGTTAACAATATGTATCATGAATATTAAATCAAGAACTACCTGTACTCATTGCATATATTAAGGCCAAACATAATGCTTAAGATTTTGTCTAAATCAGACAGTTCCCATGAGCACTATGGCAAGCTGATAGCTTGCTGGCTTCTGCTTGCAAGCAAGACAGCTTTTGTGAGGGGAATTGTGGTTGGATGCTGGGTCTGAGCAGAACAAGGATCATTTAGATCAGGGGTGTCAAACTGCTGGCTCACGTGACGTTGCGAGTTTGACACTCCTAATTTAGATCATCCACATGGCCTTGGACAATTGTTCTTCATGAGAAGACCATGGAAACTGCTATTTTATGGTCTGCTTATGAGTGGAGTTTATGACATGAAGCTTACACTCATAAAGCACCCTACATGGACATTAAGTTTGACTGAGTCTTATAGCTTAACAACTTTATTTATTTATTTATTTATTTATTTTTGTATATTGGAAAGATTAAGACCCTTCAGATTGGCATGATTTTACTGTATTCCTCCTTAAAAGATAATGGTGTAAAATTGATTTTAAAAGTTTTTAGAGTACATGATTTTTTTGGACTATGCAGCAAAAGAGTGCATAGTACATGGATTTTGGAAAGTTAATAGTGACTTAAGAGGTCAGAGGGATTTGGAATTATAGCGTTGAATTATTTAGAAGATATTTTGAGGGGAAATGGAGATTTTAGGGGGGTTGGTTGGTTGGGTTTTTTTATGATAAGGAGACCTTGAAGGCTGGACACTAGAACCAAAGGAAAAGAAAACAAAGCAGAAATCTTTAGTGCAAAGTTTTGAATATGTCTCAGCCAAGCTTTTGGACAGAATAGATCAAATATTTGATAAAATTGACAGAACTTGTTCTAATGAAGTTACAAAATAAGGACAGTGGATGTCTATAAAATTAATTTAAAGGATGATTTAAATGTAATACAAATGGATGTGATTGATGACTTATTCCCTGGAGGAGAGAACAGATATTAAACCAAG